ACCATCATGTCATTGAATGCATTTCATCTTTACTTGATGAAGTCTGTGCTCAGGTAATGATTACAGAACTAAATTTGGTTTCCAATTACACATTGTAGGATATCACATAAAGCTTGTGCTAGAAGTTACCAGAACATAGTGATAATCTGCAAGTGTACTTTAACAATGCCTTTCTTCGATGCATTTGCACACTTTTCTCCAGTGCTTCAAGGTGTGCTAGTTACCGGACAAATCCACTCTTCTCGTGCAGTGCTAAAGGTGGCAAATCTTACTAAGAGCCCAGCAGTGCTCAGTGGTGCTGTATGGTTTTGAATCATAGTCTGCCTCAAGATTGATGACTGATACTTCCTAAAAAGTCCCAGTTCTGATTGTTCTGATTCTAAGCACAGACTCTGAAGGAAATTCTGTGCCTTTTAGTCAAAGAAATTGGTTAGGTGAAGCATATAATTGAGACAGGTTTTTTCAAACTGACTTTGTACGTCATTAGTTTTCCATTCCATATAGTAAGCTCTTTTCTAGATTAATTCCTAAAGGCCAAATACTATTACCATTATGTAGACCCAATGTTCTTTTTATAATGGGAAAGTTTCCTCAAGGAGAAGATAGTTTTGCAACATTCTGAAAGTCAGGCTCCGTATTAGCTCTTCCAAAGAAGAAAACTGCCCACAAAAATTCTTATCTTGTGAACTTTGTCTGTGGTGGTGTTTTGGTTTTGGGTTTTTTTTTTCTTAACTCAGTTGTTCCAGTAGAACGCAGCTGTTTCAGTGGGTGGAAAGTGATGATGTGTCCACAGAACAAAAAATGGTGCTGAAGATCCTAGCCAGTGGTTTAAACTAAGGAAGTGGACACAAGCCAGTAGAGGATTTATGTAACTTCATCTCCTTTTGTACTTGATACTAATTCCTTTCTTTGTGGTGTATAGCATTTTGACTTTTTTTTTTTTTAAATACTGACATAAATTTAACAATAGAGTGGACGACTGCCTGGTTTCATTTATTTGACTAACAATTTAACAATTTATAGAAATCAGATACAGTTAGCAAGCTCTATCACTCAGCATGAATTGTTCCAGTTCTGAGAAAAGAAAACCACTCATTCATCTGTTTAACAACTAAGCAGTTATCCAGTCCTGCTTTTCAGGAATACCCAAAACTCATCTTCAACCTCGTCAATGTTTGGAATATGCAAAGAATGCAAGACTGAGCCTGGAGATGGTAAATTCTCCCTTTTAATATTCATACTTCCACATTTGTAGATTTACCCAAGTTCAGCCAAATTCTTCTTTTTGTGGCTCTCATTCAAATCCAGGTTAACTCCAAGAGTCTTGTTCAGGATTTACACTAGTTTCCCTGAAGAAATAAATTGGTCCAATAATATTACAGTCATAAGGGAAAAAGAAAACAAAAAGCACCATAAACTAAATAGAACATTAAGACTTAATGTCATTGTGCTTGTGAATTTGAAAGAATTAGTCACACAGAGATCCCCACTCTGAGACCTTAGATTCTTCAGCCAAGTGTTTATTTTAGTTTTTTAGGATTTTTGTCCAATGTGTAGTTAATTTTCTGGCCCATTCCTGAAAATGTAAGGCTTCCCATTACAGATAACCTGGGGTTTAGAAGCTATAATTTTGCAAATGCTGCATTTTAATCTGCATGCCTTTTCCTGCCAATTCTCTCCTTCATGCCTATGTGGTCTGACTTGATTCCAGAAGAAAAATCAGGATTGTATTATTTTCAGAGATTACGTATCCTTCTCCCCCCCCCCCCCCCCCAAAGTTGGCCAGGATACTGTTGCTTTCTTCTGTGTTATGTGTAAGTGCAATAATACAATCCAGCACCCTAAAATATGGTATCATTTGGAATTGTGTTGTATAAGTAGTGAACCCTTTCTGTATTGCCCCTAACAACTTTTTATAAAGTATCAAACCTCCATGGATATTGAAAAAACCCCCCACCCTCTTTTCAACAAATATATTTGAGATGGGTTTGTATTTATCTGAAATCCTATAGTCTGGAGAATTCTTTTGAGTGTTATAAAATATCTTAAAATAACTTTTTCTTTAATCTTGTCAGATCAACTGGCATTTGAGCTTTTCCAACTAGTTTAGGAGTTCTTTACTGTATTCTGTCAAAATTAGAAATCTTTATTAAGAAAGCTTCTGTCTAATTTTTCTTCAAAGGAACTCTTTTTGGAGGACCTTATTCTCTTATGGTCAAGTTTTCCCAGTAAACACTTATTGCCTAAGTCGTCTTGCTTTGAATGTTAGTGATGCAGGAAATTGTGATGTAGCCTTGAGCTTCAACCGCTTCCTGTGCTTCCAGGATTATGTTCTAAAATGCAATCAGAACTTTTAAACTATTTCATTATAGGCATCTGTATTCCTTGAGAAAATTCATAACTTGCCTAAGTTGCAGCAACTAGGTAGGCTATACAAATATGTCTGCATTTCTGTGTTCATTTGTTGCTGCTGGAAAAGGCCATGGATGTACTCCAACCTAATGACTGTCTAGAATTCAAAGTAATATTTCAGGTTTTGGTTTTGCAGTAGCCAGAAATTTAACTTGTAATGACTACTCACAGTTGCTCACAACTCCTTCCTTAAGTATTAGTTGTTGGATTTGGTTTTGGTGTTGCTCGTGATTCCCTTCATTGTTGGGAGGAAAAACCAGGATTGGCTCACATGGAGACAAGAATTTACTTAACATGCAAATGCATCACAGATGGGTTTGCAATGATGAGTGCTGGAGGAATGATATTTAGGGATCTGAGAGCAGCTAAATTCTTGTTAACTGAAAATAGCAACTCTGTACTTTGAGAACTGGGGTTCATTTCAGTTGGTCTTCTCAAGAAACATTCATAGATGGAGTGTGTCAGACAGGAGCTTGTCTAGATTCAGAAAAATCAACATATGTGAAAGGTTCACTGATCATTGTGGAATAGCTTTTATCTGGTCAGTCGTAAAGTATTTACACCTACCTGTAATTACTTAATCTTTCTTGACCTGAATTGAATATATTTTTAAAGCTTTTATCCAAGAATGTGAGTTATGATACTATGGCAGCAGTTGGCATCTGGCAAGAGAATATAGAGCTAGTGTTACTTGTACAGTAATTTGTAATATTTCTATTTTTCTAGAAAAGCTGTCCTTTTAAAGAACTTTGAGATGTCCTGCTAAGAGCCCTTTCAATGGGAATGATCTTGTTTTTATGTAATGTACAATAGTATTTTGTTTTGTATGAGATGGTATAAAATCACCCATTCTTCACTCAGAACTTCCACCAAAATTGGGTTTTGATTGGGAATGAATTACTGTGAGATATGGATAAAATGTCAGTTGATATGGTCCTGAATAATTGAGACAAACTTTCTGAGAGATAAGTAAACAGTTTTATTTCTTTATTTTACTGTTCCAGGAATAAGGCAGACAGAATAAATACAGCTGATGGCCAAGACAGGATTGTAGATTAGGGATTTCTTGATGCGCAAGTTCAGTGCACTAAATATTATCAAGTGGAAGTAGAAATGGTGCAGTGCCAGTTTAAGCCTACACTAGATCCCATGCTTCCCAATGCTTGACGTTAATTAAAATCTAGCAAAGTAGTAGCTGTACACATTGTGTTTAGTTACACAGATTCTGCGAAGCGTTAAAAAAGTTGAAGAATATTAATGGCTTTAGATTTAAAACTCATTAACCATTACCCTATTGACCAACTAAATAGAGTTTCTCAACACTCCTCTGGGCCAGTGCCCCTTCGTTCTGCCGTGGAAAACCAGAAATGGTTGTTGGCTCAGCTAAAAATGTTTTGGAATGCTGGCAGTATCATTGGGTGAGGCAATGTGGATGCCTGCTCACTAAAGCAGATCTGGTCAAACTACAAATACTGCCACTTTTTCAGAATGTAAAATAGTATTTTTGTCAAAATTCTTGTTTAAAGTTATGTTTTCTGCCAGAATTTTTTTTTTTTTTTATTGTAATCTGTTAAAACTGTGTTCATGTTATTAGAACCAGAATTCTGAAAGAGGTCCTTCAGGATTGAGTCTTGTTACAAATCGATCAGTACAGCTTCTTTCTCAAAATGGTAAAATTTGTAATTCATTGCCTAAATCTCGACCCAATGTAGTGTGAATTGTGGCTTCATTGAATGAAAGTTGACCACTGATTAATTTTGAAGAGAAATTTTGCAATATTACAGCGTTGCCTGTTTCTAAATACAACTTGGCAGCTTCTGATGAATTTTCTTTGAGATCTGATGAACAGAAGGCTTCAAGTACAATCCATGAAGTACATATGTAGTGAGAAAGCTATTTTGTCACAGACACCTTTGAGTAAAATCCTTAGAACACCACCAGTTCCAAATCAGCCTCTCTGGTTTTGTGTTGACTTACATCATTTAAACCTTTCTGTTAAATATCAACCAATCAAAAAAGCAAAAATGTGTGCAGATTGGACTAAATAATGGTCTCTGAATTATAGATGATTGATTCATATATTGCCTCTTTTGACCTGGAGATTCTTTTGAATCTTGAGAATAATACTGTTTAAACAAAGGTTAGTTTAAAAAGCAAACAAAAAATAAACAAACTGAACCCCCTTCTTCTCTAGCATGCTCCATCTGTCCTAACCAGTTGCCATAATATAAAAAAAAAGAAATTGAAATTATGCATCTTTTTTATATTCAGTTCCTTAACATTTACAGGAAGCTCCAGTAGTTAGGGTCTACAAAAAAGGTTATTTGCAGCCATGCTCAGAAAAGTCTAACTTCTTGTTCCCTTAGAACTGAATTATTCTTCTGTCTTTATTTTGTGGGCTTTTTCTTTTCATTTCAGTGAGTGATCTGCATATTATAAATAGATTTACCAAATCAGTGCTGAGCTAAGCAGAGAGTATTATAAATAATCCCACTGAAGGAAAACATGAACTGACAAAACATATTTGAGAGACATTGGCTATGTGTATGTCCTTATCTTTTCACATTCTTCTCTTTTTATTTCCTTAGATCATAGATGAAGAAGAAACACAGTTCATGAGTAATTGTCCCGTCGCTGTTACTGAAAGCACACCTAGAAGGAGGACACGCATTCAAGTGTTTTGGACGGCTCCTCCTACCGGTACAGGTTGTGTAATTCTGAAGTAAGTATTTTAAGGCATATTAAACTAACAATGAAAGTAAAATTCAGTTAATAATAGATCTAATATTTATTAGATTAAGAACTACTGGAGTTCTTAGATGCTTTTTTTCTCCTTTGACACATTTGACCAAGGATAGTTCTGCTTGCACTGTCAAATGTTAGTAACTTAAAGCCCAAGTATTCAGAAGTTACTCCAAACCTTCAGTAACCATTGAATTGGTAACCTTAATTGAACTTGGTAGGCTCTCAGCCATTTATTTCACCTAAAAATCTAAAAATTCTGAATCTTTAAGATCAAAATTGCATCCATCTATAATAATAATAGGAACGTTCTGTTTTCTAGAGTCAGGATTTTCTAAATGGACCTTTATCAGTAAAAACAGATCTATTTGTTTAGAGGTGAATTCTTTCACTTTAGAGCTGGTGGTTGTTTACTGACATTTTCCTATTATTTCTACAGTCTATTTCTAAACCATATGTATTTATGCTTTTTAAGCAATAGGTAAAGATAACATTATGTGTGTGCACTTTGCTATAGGGCCACTCGTTTGTCTGTAGAAACCTCAAGTGTCTTCTTACTATGAAGAGTATTAGAGGAAACTGCCAGAGAAACATTGCCCTGTCTCTTAAGATTTTGCTTGTCATATTTAATAGGACAGATTGGTCAAATATGCATGCACAATTGGGATTTCTTTGCTTGCTTTAAATCTGTGTCTGGGATAAGACTTTGCAATTGCTAAGATGTGCCCTGCAGTAGACCAAAGAATTTCAGAGAGTCTTATCAGTACTGGGCATGCCTTTAGAGACACAAAACACCTCTAGGCTTTTAAGGAGATGCTAGCACAAAGGTTGTGCTGAAGATAGTTCAGGCCAATTCAGGAAAATGTGTTATTAAAATTGCAACTGATTTCTGAACAGGCTGCAAAATTGCCACCAGCAAAACTGGTCCATGGCTGGTCTCCGCTCACCTTGTGCTTCACTTCCTTCTCCTTTTGCCAGTTGGCACACAACATAAACACCCTCCTCTTCCACGTCTGTGAGGGTGATCTAGCCCCAATCCTGACACTGGCTGTGGAGCAGTCTCAGATCTTTGGCAGCGTGCTTCTACCTGCTGTCTCTTGGTATAAGTAAAACAATTTTGATTAAGATCATCTGTGTTATTGTGCACTGCAGCAGTTCAAAAATACACTTACAGTCTTAAGCTCAGGACAGACACTGGACTGCAGTAAAACTGTGAAACCTGCTGCTTGCTGGATGGCAAGACAGGTTGTGTGTTAAAGTTTATACGTGGAATTTTTCAAGGGTTCCTTCAGCAATCAAGAAGATTCTTTCAGTGTTGCTGAGCTGTTTATCAGTAAAGCTATTTGGTTTTTCCCCTCAGGATTGCCTCCCTCTTAGTTGCATAACAAATATTGCTTGAGTGTAATAAGGTGATGATGTTTTATACATCCTTTTAAAGAGACAAGATTTAAACTTTATTCCAATAATGATATGCAACAACACAAGTTGATGGATTTTTTTTTTAATTACTGTCCTAAGTAGAGTTGCCATTGCCAAAAGAAAAAAAAAAAAGGCAAAGAAGAAAAAAAAGGGAAAAAAAAAAAAGAAGAACCACCAAGACTTATACATTTCTCACTGAAACTTAAACATCTATGGCTGAAGTTAGTTCAGAGGCCTGCCTGGGTCTTGTCAGCAAAGGAATGTAGTAAAGTACTACCAACCGCAGGAGCCTTGACAAGTATTTCTTCTCTCTCCTCTCTGCTGGTCAAGTCATGCTGGATGTTCCATACTCATGATTTTTACACTGTGAACTACTTGCATTATTGCAGAAAACTCAAGAGGCTCCAAAAAGTAGCATCGTCGGAACTGCAGTTCTGATGCCATACACATGAAAGTATGAAAGTGTCACTGCCTTGAAGAATGTACAGAGTAAATCAGTGGTATACAACCGTCTCAGACTGCTGGATGTACATCAGTAGTGCCAATATAGAGTTAGATTAGCTGACTGGCACCACTTCCCATGATCTGTTTGGGCAGCTAAAGGATTGTCTTAGAAATTGAAGTTCATGGTGAAAGGAAAAAATTTTGGTATTATGACTGCCCATTTACAGTGCATTGGGGGTATCTTAGGTGTGTATGTGCTGGTGAAAGTGAAAGGAAGTTAAGTACTTTCCAGTAAAAACTATGTGAAAAGTACAAGCTTGCTCCCAATCGTTGCTTTTTTGACCTCAGAGGGCAAGTAACTGTTTCATGCCCCAGGGCAGTTCAAAGAAAGAAGGAAACAGTCACCATTATTAGGAGCTGCTGATGCCATCATAATATCACATCATAATGTGGCATTTGTTTGGGCTGCAGTGCAATCCTCCATGGCATGACACATAGCAATCACTGATGTGGTTTTGGCATTAACAGCATTTACATTTTTTCTTTTGTATGTAAAGCTTTGACCACGTCTGAATTAGAGTTTCAGTCAGCATTCTTTATAAACCTTCTTTATAGTCAGCTCCCACAGAATAGCACAGAAATGTTAGATGCAATTTTCAAAATTACTCTGTCATTTGTGAGAGCTTTAGTGATATGATAAAAACAAAAGTCTAAAAACGGTTCCTACTTTAAATAGTTAAGTCCAAACTCATCGTGGAAAAATTCTGAAACCTTGAACTTTAGAGGAAACAAAAGCCCTCTGTATTTTTCTTTTTTTTTTTTTCCTGTGTGTGATGGAGTGCAAATAGTTCTTTATTATCAATACCTATCTGTTTCAATCCTTAGACACTATCTGACCATTTTCTTTTAGAATTTCCAAAACAGAATGGCAGCATTTTGGAGCCTGTTCTGAATCACGAGGATATACTTTTTCCTTTTTGCTATGTCCTGATCTACTGACTTCAATATATAGAAAAGTTAAATGTAGTCACAAGTTAAACATAGCCAATCCATAAAAACTTATTACAGATTTAGTGCCAAATATCGGGTGTTTTCAGATTTATAGTGGTGTAATTAACTGTAGAGGCTTCCAGGAAGTTTTTCCTGAACTAGAACTGAGGTTTGGGAACGTTTTTTTTTTTTGGTTTGTGAAGTCTGATACCTTTGATAGAAACACTTGATTGTCCACATTTGGCTAGTAGTCTTCTCAATGCTTTCTAGGCATAGTGCATGTGATCAGTTTGGTTGTGACAAGCATAAAATGGCACAGACAAATGGTAATCTGTAGTTCTAGGGTTCAGTAAGGGATGCTAAATCTTTTGTCATGAGCACATAGATGTGTAATGATAGCTTTCTGAGTGACTCCAAAATACAAAGTTTGGGAGAATAAACATATATTTGAATTCAATTTATCATTACTACTTTGCTTTCTAGAACATCTGTGTATGTGTGAAAACTTAGAATTGGTGGG